AGTTTGCTATATACGTCGTACAAAGCATCATGCAGCCCGTTCAACACATAGTTTCGGCAAAGGAAGTCTGAATGCTTCCATGCCTCAACCGCGTTGAAAGATTGCGCATCCACCTCACCCCCGGTTGCTACCGGCGCATCCTCGGTCAAGAACCTCGCAAGACCGAGAGTAGTGAGATAGAAGAGCATCTTTTGCTGTCACCTCTTGAAGTTTAACCTATTGAATTTCTCGGGTTTCTCCACAGAGTTGCTTGGCACAGTCACGATAGGGATAGCCCTTTGGTTGGCCAAAGTAGATGCACCGCGTTGTGAACCATTGTTCACCGGTGCTCCACTTTCAGAGTGATTGTCGTTCAGAACATTCTGCCCAACACCAATCTCGTTTTCTTGAGAAGTCATTTTCGTTCTTTAACATTTTTCCGAAAACACAAAAAAATAAGTTCGTTCACCAAAGTGACAAACTACGATTTAAGATTGTTTACCACAGTAGAACGATCAACAAGTACGTTTTAAGATTGTATCCGTATGATACAAGCTCAACAAATACGTTTTAAGACCCCAACAGAACACCCCTTGGAGGGTTTCTGCCCGAAGCACTTCTGGGAAAAAATAAACGTTTCGGGAAGAAAACAAAAATTAATCGTATCTCTTGAGAGATAGATTTTTGGACGGCATTCGTGTCCGCAGGTCGCCCGCTCACACGAGTCGCGATTTTTCTTCTCCGTTTCGGGATTTGATCGGCACCCCCCCCCCCCTGCGCGTAAGAGAGAGCCTTTCCCTTTAGGAATCTTAACTCCTTTAAAGAGGCTTCCCTTTATAAGGGGGTGAAAATCCCTTGAGTTTTTCGGTGTGGGATAAAACACACTAGAAACTCATCATTTTTCCCAGTTTTTCCATTTCAACGAACGAACTTCGAGAATCAATTTCTCATTCACCCGTTATCCGTTTTGAGTGTACCACATATCGAATTGTAGCCCTTAACAAGGAAAATCTGAAACCACTTTGACCCGACCCAAATCGGAAGTGGACCCCACTCAAATAATTGCCCCAAAATGACCATTTGATGCAATTTTTTAACACATTTCTCCAACACACTGGAAGGCAATAATAAGGGTTTTGAGGTATTTACGTAAAACCCAAAATCTTGGACTGCACTATGGAAGATATCCAGCTGTACTTGAAGGGTATAGCGACGCTAGTTGGATATCCGACATAAAGGACTCTAAGTCCACAAGTGGATATGTTTTCACTTTGGGAGGTGCAGCCGTATCATGGAAATCCTCAAAACAAACGTTAATAGCTAGATCCACGATGGAATCTGAGCTAATAGCCTTGGATAAGTGCACTGAAGAGGCTGAATGGCTACGCCATTTTCTTGAGGATATTCCAAGTTGGGAGAAGCATGTCCCTCCAATATGCATACATTGCGATTGTCAAGCGGCAATTGGAAGGGCACAGAGCAATCTCTACAATGGTAAGTCTAGACACATTCGTCGTAGACATAACACCATTAAACAACTCCTCACAACGGGTGTTATCACTATTGACTACGTGAAGTCAAAGGATAACATAGCGGATCCGCTAACCAAGGCATTGGATAGAGAATTGTTGGAGAAGTTGTCACGAGGAATGGGACTAAAGCCCGTGAATTGAAAAGTTCTATAGTGGATACCCAACCTAGTTGGTCCTAGCTTCAAAAGGGACAACTAAATTATAGAGCGAAGGATGGTCACTGTGGGGGTCCCGGACTCCTACCCATTCCTCGTTAAAACATTGACTCCCGCACGAGGTTAGCAAAAACGTTTGCTTTAATGATTCTAAATTGTTGATCTACTCGATAACATTGGAAGAGTATGCGGGATACTCGTGAAAGAATCACCTATGTGAAAGAGAAGAGGGCCGCTTCAAAGGAGAACTGTAAAGGCTCAGTTCTTTAGAAACTCTTGCAGAACCAGGACGGTGACCCATGGCCAAAACGGGCACACCCATGAGAACGGAACAAAGTTGGAAGGTTCTTGTGTAAAGATAAGTCAATGTTTACACGACGGCAGTATAGTTCAAGGACATCGAGTCTACTAGACAGCCAGTAAATAAACGTGTCTTTACAACGGAAGGTTCAAAGGATAAAACCGACCTCTCCGTATGCAAGGATCATCCGGTGAACACAATGTGTCCTCCTATCTTCGTGTCTTTTTAAGTCTCGAAAATCAATTTTCATTCATGTGGGGGATTGTTGGAAAAATATGTTAAAAATTGCATTAAATGGTCATTTTGGGGCAATTATTTGAGTGGGGTCCACTTCCGATTTGGGTCGGGTCAAAGTGGTTTCGGATTGTCCTTGTTAAGGGCTACAATTCGATATGTGGTACACTCAAAACGGATAACGGGTGAATGAGAAATTGATTCTCGAAGTTCACTCGTTGAAATGGAAAAACTGGGAAAAATGATGAGTTTCTAGTGTGTTTTATCCCACACCGAAAAACTCAAGGGATTTTCACCCCCTTATAAAGGGAAGCCTCTTTTAAGGAGTTAAGATTCCTAAAGGGAAAGGTTCTCTCTTACGCGCAGGGGGGATGCCGATCAAATCCCGAAACGGAGAAGAAAAACCGCGACTCGTGTGCGCGGGCGACCTCCATGGTACCTTTGATACCAAATGCTCCTCCTCCACATTTTCCTTTGTCAAACCAGTCCCCTCACATTAATTTAAGCACACAAAAACGTGGGTGGCCCTCACTCAAGTGGGAGTTCATCCCATTATGTTCTGATGTGTACAATCGGCCCTGAAAGTTGTATTTCTCGGATCGTTTTAATTATATTTTATTTTATTGGGTCAAATAAAATATATTACATGTTATCAACCATTATGGCCTTTAGAATAAATATACATTTCCCAACTTTAATTTATAAGTCTCAGAAATTCTCTTCGGGCTATTATCTGATAAATTACCAATGACGGTAATTGGGCCTTGTTTGACCAACCGGTTTACCCTATGCCCTTCCATGGCCCAACTAGGATATCCACCACCATATACATATTATCTGGACCAAGATGAATATAGTATGTGGTTCCGGAAATATCAGGTGGCCCCCGTTCCCAGTGTGGGTTCCACGTGCAATTTACTATTCACGTAAAAGAACTAACAAAAATTTACAACCTCGTAATTTCATAATCATTCTTCAAGGTTTATTACATGATTTACTAAAAAGTCAATATACTTGGGGATGGTGTTACAACAATATATATATATATATATATATATATATATATATATATATATATATATATATATATATATATATATATATATATATATATATATATATATATTGGTTCAAATAAGAACATGATCTTATGAGAAAAATGAGAATGAATCTGGACCGTTACATTTGCTTTATGTGAAATTCAATGTGCATTAGATGAAGCTGTAATGTGTATTAGGTGAAATTGAAATGTGCAGCACAAGTGGTACAATGTAGTGACATTATGTGAAGCTAAATTGTGCATTAGGTGAATTTGAAATGTGCACCATATGAAACTAAAATGTACAGAATAAAAGGTACGATGTAATGTTATTTTTGTACCTTTTATTCGGCACATTTCAGCTTCACCTAATGCACATGTGAGTTTAAATTTTAATTTTGCACATTTCAATATCATCTAATGCACATTTTGGTTTCACCAAATGCACAATTCAGTTTCACATAATTCAATCCAACGGTCCAGATTCGTTCTCATTTCTTTCCTAAGATCTGTTCTTACCCAAACGGTGATGTTCGGACGGGGTTCAGACTGGGGGCTGCTGGACCTTTGAATTTCTATATATATATATATATGTGTGTGTGTGTGTGTGTGTGTGTGTGTGTGTGTGTGTGTGTGTGTGTGTATGTATGTATATATATATATATATATATATATATATATATATATATATATATATATATATATATATATATATATATATATATATATATATATATATATAGAATATATAGAATTAGGTTCAAGTGAGAAAATGATCTTAGGAGAGAAATGAGAATGAATCTGGACCGTTAGATTGTATTCTGTGAAATTGAATGTGCATTAAGTGAAACTGAAATGTGCATTAGGTGAAATCGAAATGTGCAACACAAAATGTAAAGCATAGTGGTATTATGTGAAGCTGAATTGTGCATTATGAAAAACTAAAATGTACACTACGTGAAACTGAAACGTGCAAAATAAAAACTAGGATGAAGTGACATTTTTGTGCCTTTTATTCTGCACATTTCAATTTCATGTAATGCACATTTGAGTTTTATTTTTCATTCTGCACATTTCAATTTCACGTAATGCAAATTTCAGTTTTACCAAATGCACAATTCAATTTCACATAATACAATCCAACGATCTAGATTCATTCTCATTTCTCTCCTGAGAGTTATATATATATATATATATATATATATATATATATATATATATATATATATATATATATATATATATATATATATATATATATATATATATATATATATATATATATATATATATATATATATATATATATATATATATATATATATATATGTATGTATGCTATTCTGGACTTCTTGAGTGCAAAGCACAAGGGAGATACATACTACCTCATTCTCATTCAAAAGTTTTCATTGCAAAATAACATTTTTATTTAAATAATAATTAAATATGTTGGTTCAAGTATATTTTGAGAAATAATTTAAATGAATATCCAACATAATGTGTTATTGATGATTATAAGTATTATAAATGTATTATTTTTAATATTTGATGTTTAAATTGTTACCACCTCCATCTCACTAACATTAGGATTTAGGACGAAAGGTGGCACGATTATTAAGAAAAATGGATTTATGTGATTAATATTGAAATTATAAAGTAAAATGATTAAAAGTCACACAAACTTTACCAAATATGTATAAGAGCATCTTAGTGGAATTTTCCGAAAAGGTAAAATAAGACAATCTTAACGAGACGGAAGGAATATATAAGAGTGTTGTTTGTTTCCTAAAATAGAAAATGAAAACTTTTTAGCTAGGAAATCAAAAAAAAGTGAGAACATTTCAATGGGACGGTGGGAATATTATACATGACACCTTTCAATCTAATGTCGCATTTGAAACACATTGGTTTTCCATTACTGAGAGCCCATAAGGCCATAATTTAAAAGGTAAGCTACTAAATTACACAGCTTTCTGCAATACTAGTTTATATAAGTAGAATTTTCTTCTCAGGCTACAATATTACTCCATCCAATTAAAGCATTTAATGTGGATCATTTCTGATGAAATTAGCATAGTGTTCGTCCATCATATTCTCTTCACACTGTCACCATGGACAACAACAAATCCTTCACTTGCAAGTGTGTAGAGTGCATTTCGCAGCTGTTAAAATTTCAAATAAGCATATATCAGCAAATAACTTAACAAGCATACATAAGTAGTGTTTGCAAGAAATTAAAAAAAAAGTGATTTTCAGCTTTTGGTTTAAAAAAGCTGAAATTGGGTGTTTTCAAGTGACAACTCCTACTTAAATTAAGGGAGAATTTGAATTTGCACCCATGTTTTGGATGATATTTGACTTTGCACTCTATTTTTAAAATCATTAATGTATTCACCGCAATTCACTACAAAATCATTTGACTTTGCACCTTACTCCTTTACAATTTTTGGGCCAATGGGGTGAATACATTAATGATTTTAAAAATGTGGTGCAATGTCAAATATAAACCAAAACATGGGGTGCAAACTCAAATTTTCCTTTAGATCAAACACTTAAAAGCTAAAAGTTGGAAGCAGGTGGAGGGTGCTTTAAACTGCTTTTCACTTTTTCTATTACACAAAAGGCACTTATTTTATCAAACACTACCAACTTTAATTTTTCAGAAACACTTTTTCTCAAAACACTATCGGCTTTTATTATTAAGCACTTTCTCCAAATTTACTTTAAAAAATCACTTTCTTAAAGTAGAAGCAATCACAAACACTCCCATAGATACAGTTGAGATATTTACATCATTGAGGTTAGGTTCAGTGCCTGAACTGTGCTTCTTCAACTCTTCCAGTATCTGCACATATTCGATTCAGAGTGTAAGTTGACAATATGCTCTCCTTTTCAAAAAGAACTGTACAAATCAAGTTCTACTCACCTCAATCAACCGATATGATGGCCCTCCCAGTTGCATCTTTTCCATAATGAAGTTGCGAGTGGCTGATACAAGGTTCTCCCTTCTCAACCTTTCACTCGCTGAAACTCCAGTGGTGATGAGGTCCATATCAATGGTTCCTGTTTTAAGTGGATATGAAATAACAGACAAAAGTTTATTATGCTTTACTATGCAATTTAATATAACCAGTCAGTATGAACAATAGTAAGCATTAAGGTTTCATCTTTATAAATCAGTCCATTTAAGAAAAAGAAAAACCACAAAATATTCCTTATTTGAATCTGCTTATTATGCTTATCGGGTAAGAATAAACAACCTTGCTTTACTTTCTTGGCTGAAATAATGTTTTCCAAAGGCTTTTTCTTTTCAAAGTTCAACAGATTAAGCCAAATTAACCTTACGAGCCCAGCCTATGGGCCGATTTGGTTGCATCACTCCGCTTGCTCTGCAGACTAAGTAGCCTTAACTTGCTATTCTACAAAATACTTTCCTACTTCAAGCAATTTAGTAGATTGAGACATTTCATCATAATTTAAACCATTACCAAACGGCCTCTCGTTTTCATTCATTTCAAATTAACAGATTATTTTGTTAAAACTTGTTTAGGGAGAACTATCAAATAAGCCCTTGAACTTTCATAAAAAATGCAAATAAGCCCTTTTACGGGGCTTTGTCCAGCTGTTGCCATTTGGGGCGGTTTCCGGTGGAATTTTTTTATGAATTTTTTTGAGCATCTTCTTCATTAAGTCTAGTTTACCCATACCAAATTTCAGCTAAAAATTCAATCGATAAGGCAGTCAAATGATTTTCTGAAATATACTGCGCTGTCTAACTGCGCTGTCTAACTGCGCAGTTATCTTCAAAAATTCATTTGAATGCCTTCCCGATTGAATTGTTATCTGAAATTTGGTATGAGTAAACTAGACTTAATGAAGATGCTAAAAATATTTCATAAAAAAATTCCACCGGAAACTGCCCTAAATGGCGACGGCCGGACAGAACCTCCTATAAAAGGGCTTATTTGCACTTTTTATGAAAGTTCAAGGACTTATTTGGTAGTTCTCCCAACTTGTTTATAAATATTATAATCAGAGTTCAAATTACGCAATGACTTTATGGGTCAAGGCGCATTCCACTGATTTCTACGACAAATGATCCATGAGGCTATGCTTAAAACAGGCAAGATGAGGTTTACACAATTTGGGGGACAATGCCTAGTGCCTACGCGCCATTTCTAACGCAGTGAGGCTTACACAATAGTATATCAGAATTTAATTATGTTGAGTCAGATTTAAAAAGCCCATATTTTCCTTTAAAACTTCAAAACAGGGATGCACGACTTTTCTACAATAAAGAGACTCAGTTCTTCAACTTCTCTGCAATCACAAACAGAAGACTTCTCTACTGCACCTTTTTAAACTTTTTCCAGTTAGTTCTGGTTTTATATATCTCTTTTAAGTGGATTGCATTATTGCACTACTTTTTTATAAATGTTGCTGTTGTGCCAAGGACATCATTACACTGCAGTAACTTTTTACTGAACTTTGTTGAATTTTCATGACCATTTTATTATACAAATACTTATTTAGTTATTTTATTTATTTCAAATACTATGTAAAACCGTTTTGTAAATTGTACTAAAAACTAAGTCATGCTAATTCAAATACTATGGACGTGTTTACGTCACTGCTAAAATCACAATTAGGTTAGTAAGACAGGTGAAGAAAGCACACAAGTTGCTTAAAAAGCTGATTACTAACCGAAACATGTGCTTAAAGTGCCGCTAACTAAGCATATCATCCCCAATGTATTAATGAAGCGGCACTTTAAGCTTTTTCAGTTTCCAAATTTACCCTTACCCTTACCCCTTACTCCCTTACTGTTACCCCTTCCCTACACCTACACCTACCCACCCCTACCCCACCCCTACTAGGGTTGGAATCGCGGGTAGGGGGTAAGGGTTAGGGCAGAGTATGGTAGGGTTAGGGGCAGGTGTTTGGGTACACGTACCGGGTGGTAGGAGTTGGGGTAGGGTCATGATAGGGGTAGGGTGTAGGGGTTTGAATGCCTATTACTTTAAACCGTCTCAACTATGCAATGCACAATTATAAACATTGATAAAAAATAATAGGATAATTAAACAATTTGTCAAATAGGCATGTAGATGCATAATAAGTTCAATTCCTGGCAATTATGGTATGGTGTCCATGCTGCTAAGTTATATCAAAGTCTACCTGTGGAATGATCCGTTGCAGACTGTTGCATTGCAACATCTAGAAGCCGAAATGCCTCCAAAACATCTCTCTTTTCAACCTGCCATCATCGATGAGGGAAGTAATCAGTGGCCTTTAGATTTACACCAGAGGCAGTGATAAGGGGAAATTGTACTAACACATTCTGAGAATCGAATCCGAGCAAGAGCTTCACTGAGACGTATTACACTCTCAATCTGTCTGGGTGTGGCTGTGATGACCTGTAGAATATATGATATTAGTCATAGTCCATATTGCATTAGAGCATTTCAAGGCTAAGAGAAGGAAACTTGCACTGCCTGAGTGCAAGACTGCAAGTGCACAAATAATTCAATGTATTTTGTCAGCTTGAAGTCAAAGAATTAGGCAATACCTAGCGACAGAGAGTTTCACTGTCAATCTTTGTAAATAAACAAATTGGGAGCACATAAATAGACTGATTGTTTACATATAGTTTTCTACCTTCTTGCTACTGCCTGGGAAGTTCCCCCTTCTTCTCATCTCAACATATCCTTTTGTCAATTCATCAGCGGCTTCATCACATAACTGAGGGTGTATATGCTTTCGTGCATAGCTCACGTAAGCAGTTAAAGTTGGGAGGTCTATAAAATCTTGCTGCGAGTGCTGTGAAAGATAAAAGCAACTAATTAACCAGTAACCACCACTACTGCATGTACTCTTCAACAAAGTGACAAACCAAACAAATAAAACTAAGATAGCATCAAACCTCCGGATTCTCAAAGTGCAAAGAAACAATATGCTTTGCTAGGCGTCTATCTGTCTGCTCATCAGCCTTGTCCAGAAGTAAATAAATTAAATCAAATCTGAAAAAGACAAATGCAAGAAAATGAGTCTTCAGTGCTGAGTACAAAAACAACATTCTTCTACTCTTACAGTCCAATTTCAAGTTTGGACAAATGATGTGAGACCTTTTAAATACAGTGATAAAACAAAAGCAAAATAGTAGAAAACTCATTCGCTAAAAATACAATAATGTACATAACTATACCTGGACAACAGTGTTGGGGGGAGGTGGATATTATCAATAACAGACAAACGAGGATTGTAGCGTGAACCAATTGGATTTGCACAAGCTAGTACAGAAGTTCTTGCATTAAGTGAAGCAATAATCCCTGCCTTTGCTATTGAAACAGTCTGTTGCTCCATGACCTAAGGAGTTGTGGGACACCAAAAAACGTACAACATTAAAAACTGTAAATTTAACTACCTAACAAGAATTAGTAAACTCATAACGTTTCTTTCCTCAAATTATATAATACACAATCTATTAGAGTCTCACTTCATGCAACATGCTTCTTGCATTCTCAGACATTTTGTCAAATTCATCGATACAGCATATTCCTTTGTCACTTAGAACCAGTGCACCACTTTCAAGAACCTAGAGAATCAGTAGTCAGATCCATGACTCGAATGTTAGAGTAAAATGACAGATCAATGGTACCAATGTTATAATGAAATGACAGGTCTAATTTACTTGAAATAGGGATTGTGATAGTTAATATATTAATTGGTTAATTTCATACAGTTTCTCCAGTCTCAGGATCTTTGGCAACATAGGCAGTCAATCCAACAGCAGAACTTCCTCGCCCACTAGTGTAGATGCCACGAGGTGAAAGCTTGTGAATGTATTGCAGCAGCTGGGATTTACTAGTCCCGGGATCACCAACAAGGAGAACATTAATATCTCCTCTAAAGCTTGCACCAGATGCCAATTTCAATGCATTGCCACCAAAAAGCTATATACATAATGTTGACATCATCAGTAGTCTATATAACTGGTATTGTCATTTAAAAGATGCTTTAACATATTAATAATAAAAGGCAAAGTGGTCAGGTATGCATTACTTGGCAAAGAAGGCCTTTCTTGACATCATCCAACTCCCATATATTTGGGGCTAAGGATCTCGTTAACCTTTCATATATATCAGGTTGCTTAGACAATTCCTTTAGCTGCTCAATCTGATATCAAGGCATCATTATAAGAAAAAGCATATGTATCGTTGTTGTCCGCTACTCACTAGTAAGGAAGTGAATTAACAAGTCACCTTGTTCGCAGAGTCAATAAAAGGTTCATCTTTATTCCTGTTAAATCCATTTTCAATTTCCATTGGATCCTCTACATTCATTCTTGACTTATCAGTCTTCTTCAAATGTAGGCAGTCGATGTAAGTCTGGAAGAAATAAACTTTTGTTTCAGAATACAAACATATACTTCTTTCATCATAGTTCACAACAGGAAGCAAAGTTGTGGCTCCAAGCCTCCAACACACACACAAAAATTAGACAGCTAAAAGAGGTAGCTAAGCTTGCCTTGAAAAGTGATTTGACAGTCCTTTGTGTAGACCCAATTCTAACACTCATTGCACGGTAAATGCCAGTGACCTAATAGTAAGAACGTAAGCATAGTATATCCCAGATGAATAAGGGAAAAGCAATATTGAATCACACTTCCGGGAAGAAAATGTTTGATAGAATTGAAACCTACCTCAACTCTGTCACCGGGTTTCCCGGCATCCACTAGCTTGTCATGCATCAGTAAGCTCACTGTATGTGGTGTTCCACCGTCCGGAATATCATCGGGTGTTTCTTGAAGTCTCACTATTTGCTTATCTATAAACCTGGAATGAGTCAAAGTACCCAAGCAAGTCAAAACTGCTTAAATACATTTCATAACCCCACCCGAAAGGCCTAAGAACCCCAGTATAGAGATTTATCAAAACAATAACATAATCAAAAGGATAATCAGTGCATTCATTACCTGCACCGGTTGTGAACCAGAGTCATAGAGTTTCTGGCTTGGCATTCTTGCTTCTCACAACGTGTAGGGTCACTAATTCTCCCTTAAAACAAAGATTTAAGATTGGAAGAGAAGCTGAAACCCAACCAGCCAACATAGACATATCAAGTGTAGTGTACTAGTGTAACAAAGCTTACCTCTATCCACAACAATAGGGTCAGAGTAATAACCACAGACAAGGCACCTGAATATTGCTTCCCGGATCTCAGGTATAATAGAACTACATCGTATTATCATTCCTTTGATAGAGACCATCTTCTCGATGTCTGGGAAGAGGATAAGTGGGAAAGTTAAGCTTTTTACGAACATCTCAAACAAAAGGGGAGATAACATCATAAGAGAGGGTGTGCTAGAATAAAAGTGTAATAGGGGATGTGACTAACCAGTAGGATTGAGATTTCTCATGGAAATAGACGCTTTAAGATTGAAAATTCGAACTTGTACGAGCTTTTCGAATAAAGGGTTGATTCTGCTTACCATGTCCATCAAAACAATGTCAAATATGGCTAAGACCTCTAGTGGGTATCTGACCATTTTGTTGTACAAATCACTGTCATAGGCGAACACATCATGTGCATCCACTTCAAGTGAATCACCTTCCATCTCGATCACATGGTGAATAGAAATCATGTATTTCCCTTCAACTTGAGAAGATTCTTCACGGAAATGCCTTAGAAATCTTAGAATTGCGGCATTCACATCTTGAACGACGATATTTGTGCCCCACACATACGTTGGTGGGGCCTCCTCGCCGCCATCACCTTCAATGCCATCTGAGGATGCTGAAGGCGCCGGAGAAGCGTCGCTTCCGCCCCTTCTACCACCCAATGAAGAAGGTGTGGCTGCAGCAGCGGCAGAAGTGGACCTCCTTCCACCCCGTCCTCGAGGAATTCTGCTGGACGAATTAGGCGTAGCATCCGGTGTAGTGAAGCGAGTGTTAGCAGAAGCAGGTGGCGTGGCGGTGGAGGAAGAGCGGCGCTCTCGCTTCCTGCGACTGGTATCAGCTGGAGATGAGAATGTATTTCCAATTGGGCTCGATTGCGACTCATAAGGTGAGGTCGGATCTGTAGTTTACATTCACCATTTCGTAATTTAGGGTAAGTGCTGAACTAATCAGATTTGTGAAGGCATTTATGATATTGAAAATAGTTTAAAGTGAAATAATCCAAAAACGGGATGACCTTACCGACGTGAGTGTTAGCGGGAGATGAATCGGAAGCCATGACCGGAGCTCAGCTATTCTCTTTAGTCAGCCAGCGAGGGGGGAATGTGTGTAAATGGCCGGCGAACTTTGGGGACGGTGGGGTTAGAACGTAGACTCTTTTGGCGGGAATAGACTGATAAATTGGGCGCCAATCTATCGGGTGCAAGAGTTCAACTAGGGCTCATTGTGATAAGTAGTAAAAAATTGATTGGAATGTTTTTAGTACTCCGTATAATTTTTTCTATAATACTCCGTATATTTCATCCTTAAAAAATGTGGTCAAACTTGTTGTAATTAACATTTAAATATGAAAGAAGTATTTGTTGTAATAGTCAAATCATATATAGAGTATTCTTAAAAAATACTTTGTATTTTGATTTGACTGTTACAACAAATTTAGAACAAATTTAGATGTCATATATTTTAAAAATTATTTTAACTTGAGCATATATACATCAACAAATAAATAATGGACTGAGATAATATAGCTCATTGTGGAACAAAAATCTAAGTACCTCACATTCTCAAAGGGGTTATCGTAGTGAAATGTTACCACCACTCAAATTTATTATCTGCCATACACCGAAGTGTTAATTTATTCTAGACAAGTACATTTTGGACCAGTAAATGTTTCGTTCAAGTATATTTCATGATATTCAGATGTAAGTAATTAGATAGATCTAATTGACGTGTGTTACGCTCTCTCTATATATATACGTTCTTCGTTCCATAAAAGTTTCAGCATTGGAATTTTTGCACTATTCACACACCTTACTTTGATTACGATTTTCTAATAATATATATAATAAAAACCTTATGTATAAAATATTAATAAACTTGTATTAATGTAAATTTCCAATATATTAACTTTTTTAATGTTTACTTATACGTAAATAAACATAATTACAATCAAAGTTGTGCGTTGATAAACGTGAAAGTCAAACTGTTGCAACTTTTATGGTTTGTTGAGTTGTTCGTTCTTTCCAATTTCATTGAGGAGCCGGATAAAAATTAATTTAGACACCACAATTACATGTGAATATTATATTTGGCATTAAAGTTTTCAATATTTCAAATTAGACATCAAGTTAGACACTATAATTTCAAATACTTCAAATCACCACAAATTTAACATTTTTTGTCATTTTTGAAAACTCTAACGTTTTTCATACCCGACCCCATCAATATAATGAAAGTCATTAGTATACCTTTTCCTTTTGGATGTTTTTACTTGGACTGTAATTTGTTGGTCTGATCTGGCCTGGTCTGGTCTGATCTGGTCTGGTCTGGTCTGAACTGGTCTGGTATAGTCTGGTCTGGTCTGGTCTGGTTTCTTTGTATTTTTATAACTATCCAAGTCTGGTCTGGTCTAGTCGGAACTAGTCTGAACTGGTCTGGTCTGGTCTGATCTGGTCTGATCTGGTCTGGGACAAATTACAGTCCAAGTAAAAACATCCTTACTCCATATTAACTCAGTGAGGAGTATTCTTTTATTGATGAAGTAAACAAACTGACCGAGAAGAGATACATAAAAAAACATAATTAACTCGTGTATTTAGATTTAAATAGATTATAGAATTAGATGTTCCGGTTAAGAAAATCTATTACTCCATATTATGTAATTGAATTCTCTAATTTCGTTAAGTCAATTTAACGATTTGATATTTCTTTATCCCATTTTATAAGATACGCTTTTTTAATTAAAAATATATGAGCATTTTCCTGAATTGAATTCTATTTTTTTTTTACTACTCCCTCCGTCCCATTGGACTTTGCCAACTTTCCCTTTTTGGTTGTTCCAAAAAACTTTGTCAGTTTTCTATTAAACTAACTAATTTGTGATTCTGCACATTTCTCTCTTCTTTGCACAAATCTCAACCATATAGTTTTTACTATTCATATTTCCCATCTACTTTTCTGATGGAGTATATGGCTCGGGAACCCCCGCCCCACAGACTCCTACTACTCCAATAAAGGCCCAACAGGCCCAGAAGGCCCAGATGACGGGACCCTCCTGGCCCTCCTACAAACAGTACTCCGCCCCGGGAACTTCTCCAGAAGCCTCATCATCGAACCCCCCGCGATTATATAAGGGCCCTACAGCGGGGGGACCGGTACGCCGAGGCCGAGGAGGTGGAGAAATGCCACCATGTCCCAGATCAGCAACGCCCTCGGCTAGAAGGCAAAGGTAACCGGGGGCGGGGGCTCCCTACAATCATCCCAGGGAGACTGTCCCCTCCGGTGATCGCCCCCGGCACGGCCAAGCCAAGCCCGAGGGAGGCTACAAGGGGAACCCAAGGGCTTGGGCACAGCCTGTCCTCTTGGAGCACCCTCGGACACCATTGACGCATCCCGTCAGTGCCATCCTGGATTTTGCTGAGGAGAGGGGCCTCGTGGAACGAGATTCGCGCGCGCCCTCGGAAGTATTTGCCATCAATCCAAACTACCCCTACTGTCGTTTCCACCGACACCAGGGGCACAGGACCGATGATTGCCATCAGCTGAAGACGGCCATCGAGAAATTGATACAAGCGGCCCATCTGTCCCAGTTTGTCCAGGGCCACCAGCAACAGCCCCCCCCTCCATCAGGGGCCGCCCCGAGGGCAAACTGTGAGAGGGAATGCATGGGTCAACCCCAACACCATCCCCCTCGGCAAGAAGAGGGAGATTGGGAATCTGGAGGAGGAGGAGGAGGAGTACCCCCAGTATCAAGAAAGGAAACGCCACATCCTCATGATTACGGGGGGAAATACCGGGGGTGACTCCACAAGTCAACGAAAGAAGTGGGCTCAATCACTTTACATAGGGGAAGTCACTCATATGACCCCGGTAAAGCGGCTGAGGGAGGAACCCATTATCTTCACCAACGCTGATCTCCCCCCAGTATCCTCCCCCCACAGGGATGCCCTCGTCATCCGCACAGAGGTCAACGACACCATTATTCACAGAACTTACATTGACACGGGCAGCTCCGTCAATGTAATGTACCTCAGCACCTTCAGAGAGTTGCATCTGGAGAGGGGTCCCTTCGGCCCATCAAGACCCCTCTTGCCGGTTTTACCGGCGACACCATTGATTCCGAGGGGGTCATAACCCTCCCGGTCATCTTCGGCGACGGCCTCCATAGAGCCAAGCTCGAAGTGGAGTTCGTCGTCGTCAACATCGACTGCGCCCACAACATCATCCTCGGCCGGCCAGCCCTCGAGGACCTCGAAGCCATCATCTCCATGAGGCACCTCTGCCTCAAGTTCCCAGGCGAGGGGGGAATCGGTTACTCAAGGGGGAACCAAAAACTTGCCCGCGCTTGCTACCTTCAAGTTACGAAGAAGGTTAGCAAGACGGAGTTCCGCGTTGACACCATCACCGGAACTGTGGAAGCGGAAGAAAGGAGGCCGAGGGCCGAACCAGCCAAGGAGGTAGAAGACTTCGCGCTCGATCCGGCCAAGCCGGAGAGAGTCGTGAAGATTGGAGCCAAGCTCCCCGAAGATTTGAAGACCGGCCTCATCAGCGTCCTCCGCGCCTACTCCATTGTTTTGCATGGGGGCCGGAGGACATGCCGGGGATCAGCCGAAGGGTCATCACCCACCGCCTCTCAGTGGACCCTTCGGCCAAACCAGTACAGCAGCGAAGGAGACCCCTCTCGGTCGAGAGGAGGGAATTTGTGAAGAAGGAGGTCACCATGCTCCTATCTATCAGGCACATCAAGGAGGTAAAGTACCCCTCATGGCTGGCGAACGTAGTCCTCACACAAAAACCGCCCTCATTCCGCATGTGCGTGGACTACACGGATCTCAACAAGGCGTGTCCCATGGACCCCTTTCCTTTGCCAAATATTGATCAACTTGTGGATGAAACCGCGGGGTGTGAAATCATGTCATTCCTCGACGCATTCCGTGGATATCACCAAATATTCATGCATGAGGAAGACGCCGAAAAAACAGCCTTCATGACTCTCGAGGGCATCTTCTGCTACCTTGTCATGGCCTTCGTCCTAAAGAACTCAGGCGCCACCTACACCCGGATGGTGGCCAGGGTATTTCAAGTTGTCCTAGGGCGCACCATGGAGGCATATGTTGACGATATGATCGTCAAAAGCAAGCAGTTAGCAAACCATGCTGACGACCTGAGGGAGATCTTCGCCATCATGCAGAAGTTTAGCCTTCGGCTGAACCCGAAGAAGTGTACCTTCGGCGTCCAGGGGGGGAAATTCCTGGGCTACATGGTTAGCCGAAGGGGTATTGAGGCCAACCCCGAGAAAATCCAGGCCATCATCAACATGGAGCCCCCACGCAACGTGAAGGAGGTCCAACGGTTGACAGGCCGCCTGGCAGCCCTCAACCGCTTCTTATCAAAATCGGCAGAGAAGTCCTTACCCTTCTTCCAGATCATGAGGAAAACCGCCGGTTTCCAGTGGACTTCAGAATGTCAGGGGGCATTCGAGGAGCTAAAACGATACTTATCTTCACCCCCTGTGCTCTCTAAACCCAAGGTAGGGGAAATCCTGTACCTCTACTTGGGTGTTAGCCCGACTGCCATCAGCTCTGTACTCATCCGGGAAGAGGATGACATCCAACATGCCATCTTCTATGTTAGCAAGACCCTCAGGGAGGCAGAACTCCGGTACTCCCCCGTGGAAAAACGGTGCTGGCTATCGTGTGGACCGTCAAGAAGTTGGGCCATTACTTCCAGGCTCACCCGGTCCAGGTCCTCACTCACCAACCCCTCGACGCCTTGATGAGGAGCCCCACTAGCTCCTCCCGAATGGTAAAATGGGCTATCTTCTTGAGCCAATACAACATCGACATCCGTCCTAGGCCCGCCATCAAGGGCCAAGTCCTAGCGGACTTCGTGACGGAGTGCACGGCAAGGGCAGCCACGGACGAGGAGCCCTCGGCCCCCTCAGATGACTGGTGGACCCTTGACACCGACGGCTCCTCCGCCATCAAGGCATGCGGAGGAGGGGTGGTTCTCATCTCACCCGAGGGCTTCCGGGCCTATTATGCAGTCCGTTTCTCCTTCAAAGTCTCCAACAATGAAGCCGAATACGAGGCTCTCCTCTGTGGCCTTCAGCTGGCATCTAACATGAAGGCCCGACAAATCCACGTCAAGTGCGACTCCAAGTTGGTCGTCGGCCAAATCTCCGGGGAGTACAAGGCCAAGGAAGGGAGAATGAAGCAATACAAGGAGGCGGCCAAGGAGTTGCTTAAGGTATTTGAGGCACACTCTTTTACTCAAATACCGAGGGCTCAAAACTCCGAGGCCGACATTTTATCAAAGCTCTCGGCAGAATCCCCTGAGCATATCTCCAAGATCGCCAAAATAGAAGAACTCGGTCTCTCCAGCATACATGCTAGCCCCGTCATGAACATACAACAAAAACAGGAGGACTGGATCTCAGACATCGTTGCCTTCTTCACCAAAGGGCAACTGCCCGAGGAGGAGGCCCGCGCCAAACTGACAAAACTGAGGGCTCCCAGCTACGTTATTGAGGATGGAAGGCTTTACAAAAGATCCTACAACGGGACATTACTTCGGTGCCTTCATCAAGATGAAGCCGAAGTAGCAATGGAGGAAGTGCACAGTGGGACTTGCTCAGCTCACCAGGGACCCTTCTCCATGTCCCGAAGGCTGATAATCCAGGGCTACTTCTGGCCTACGATGGCCCGGGATTGTGCAGATCTTGCCAGGAGGTGTCCCGCATGCCAACACTTCCAGAAAGCCCACGGCAGGCCAGCGGTCAACTATGCCCCCATCAGCACATCCATACCCTTCGCTCGATGGGGCATAGACCTTGTGGGCCCTCTGCCGAGGGGTACCTCCAACAACAGGTACATCATTGTCGCCATCGATTACTTCACCAAATGGGTGGAAGCAGAGCCCCTCGCCAGCATCACTGAAGCCAGGTGCCGTCATTTTGTTCTCAAAAACATCCTCACCAGGTTTGGCGTCCCTCAGCAAATCATCTCCGACAACGGGGCTCAATTCGAGGCAGCCCCCTTCTGTGCCCTCCTAGAGGCATGGGGCATCAAACACACCTTTTCATCCGTTGCTTACCCTCAGGGCAACAGACAAGTGAAGAACGCCAACAAGACCTTGCTCGAAGACCTAAAAAAGAAGCTGGAGGCCGAAGGGGGCGGTTGGGTAGAAGAACTCCACAACATCTTATGGGCCTACCGTACCACCCCTCGGCGGGCAACTGGCAAGACACCCTTCTCCCTTTGCTACGGATTTGAAGCCAAAGCCCCCACTGAGGTAACTCTCCTAACCCGAAGGGTCACACAGTATGATCCGGAGGCCAACGACACCAATATGGCCCTCGACCTCCACCTGATTTCAGAACGCCGAGAGCAAGCATTCATACGCGCAGAAAACTACCGAAGGCAGGTGAAGAGTTACATTGATGCCAAGGTTCGCTCCCGGGAATTCCAAGTGGGGGACTATGTTCTCCGAAGAAGGGAAGCCAGCCAACCAACCGAGGGTGGAAAGATGGCACCAAAGTTCAAGGGCCCCTACATCGTGACAACCATCATCAAATCCGGAACTTACAGGCTAAAACGCCCTAACGAGACTGAAGTCCCTAGGCACTAGAATGTACATCACTTAGTTAAATTTTATCAATAACATCAGAGCGGCCAAAGCCCTCATAACTAGTGAATGTATTATTTTACGGCCCAAGGCCTAAAGAATTCTGAAGAATGAAGGCATTTTGAAGACACCGAGAACATGGAACAAGATTATCACAAGGGCCAAGCCCTCATACCATCCCCAGGCCCAAGGCCTCACCACGATAGAAGAACCCTCGGCACCAAGTGCCGAGGGTAGAGGATACTATCACCTACAGCAAAGCACCACCTGTCCCCAAAAGAAGACCCCTCGGCACCTGGTGCCGGGGGGACACATCACTGGCAGCTTTCAACAAATGAGAAGAAACACCAAGTGTTTCCACAGAAGGCCCTTCGGTACCAAGTACCGAGGGTGGATAACATAATCCCCTTCAATAATCGGGGAAAACACCAAGTGTTTCCACAGAAGGCCCCTCGGTACCAAGTACCGAGGGTAGACGACAAAATCACCTCCTCCAACAAAGTAGGAAGAAACACCAAGTGTTCCCACAGAATACCCCTCGGTACCAAGTACCGAGGGTAGACACCACAGTCCCCTGCGACAAGTGAAGAAAAAAGCACTAATTATGTCTACAGAAGACCCCTCGGTACCAAGTACCGGGGGCCGTACGTCGGAACAAACGCCAAGTGTTGTTTCCTAACTCGTACCCCTCGAGGACGCCTATACCGAAGGCGCCACCTCTCGGTGCCGACAGCACGTAGTGCACCCGGCCATTTGCAACCAGTGTGCAAATGAAAACCCTTCCCTGAAACGCTTTCCGCGTCATCACCCCAAGGGTATGACAGGCATGAGAAATGCCGAGGATTCGACTTTCAAAAGCGGAACGCTTTCCGCGTCATCACCCCAAGGGTATGACAGGCACGAGAAATGCCCAGGATTCGACTTCCAAACCGAAACGCTCCCCGCGCCACCACCCCAAGGGTGTGGCAGGCCACGGACTATGTATAGCGCCGAGGGGACGACTTTCAAAACTGAGGCGCTTTCCGCGCCATCCCCCAAGGGGAGGCAGGTCATGGTGTATTCTACCCAGGAATCGACCCTCGATCCCCTCGGAACTCGGAAGGTCAACCCGAGGGGGGGAGCTAATGGTGTATTCTGTTACCTCCCGATAGGCCAAGCCTTACCAAGAAACCAAGTTTCTTGAAGCCTTCCCTTCACTACTAAAAAAAAGGGTGGTGAAGGGGAGTAGACTCGGCGAGAAATCAATGAGTACATCACTCCAACAATTTCCAAAAACATACCGAGGGCTCCCCATGGGAACACCTTCGGTACCCTGGAAGTTCACAAGTACAAAGGATACCGTTCACAACAGACGTCATCAACGAATGGCTAAGTCCACTCAAGGATTGCCTCCGGCTATACCTAAAACCGAAGGCTCAAACAACTCAAAAAATCCCTGAAGGGCACCATATGACAAACAACCGAAGGCTTTTGTTACCATAGCCCAACATTGCAAATCAAAGGAAACTATCCTGAACCTACAACGTATACAGCCGAAGGGTCCTCCCGAAGGCCAGCGGCAAGAAATACTTGGAAAAAATAGTCTAAGTCCTAAATGCTTTGCCCCTTGTGGAGCCATCAGTCAACCGAAGGCGTATCTGAGACAAGGCTCTCACAGTCACCCGAGGGCTCCTACTTCATACATGTTACACTTAGAAAAATTTCTAAGTCCCGAAAGTTCTTACCCTCGGTGACAAGTTTCTAAGTCTCGAATCTCCCTGCAACCCGAGGGGTCACACGATTGAAGGCTTGGTGAGACTACACTTAGAAATATTTTCTAAACTATTGTTGGGCCCTCGGCCATACGTCCAGCGAAGGATGCCCAACTACCGAAGGCTAAAACTGTATTGAAACAATTAGGAAAATGTTCTAAGTCCTAAGCACCTCACCTCCGGTCATCTCATGAAGGCTACATAGAACCGGAGGGAAGGATCAGCCGAGGGCCAACAGATGAACAAACACTTAGAAATATTTCCAAGTCCTGAACATTGTGCCCTCGGTGAAAGGTTCAACTGACTAAAGATTTCTAATAGCCGAGGGCTACAAGAAGCACTACACTTGGAAGAATATTTCCCAAGTCCTAAACATACATTCAAAGAAGCAAAGGCATACATTCAGGAAAGGCGAAAGCATACATTTAAAGAGAGACAATGAAAGGGAAACAGATTATTTACCAAAATCCCGGAGGCATGTATTCATTCATCGAAGGAAAGAAATTCGAATGTATAAATTACAGTATGGCCGAGGCCGACAGTATACAGATGTCCATTACATACAGAGAAGACATTCAAAACACTACTAAGTACATATCATATATTGTCAGCGCCGGGGGCAGCCTCTTCCGCGGGCTTCGAGATGACCTCCGTGTCAGCCTCTGCCTCATCACCCTCGGCCTCTTTCAGGAGTTCTGAATCTTCCAGTTCTGGCCTCTCGACGCCCTCGGGAAGGGGAACTCTGATATCAGGCTGGAGGGAGGGGGGAGACCGTATGCCGCCGGGTCGAAGGCCGTTGGCTCTATTTTCAGGTGCCATGCGAGCCTCCTGTAGATCAAGGCCTGGGTGAACCCCCCCCCCCCGGCATAGTAATCTTCACCCTTTCGGGCTAGCCACATCGCCCCGGGGCCCTTCACCCACCCGTCAGCAGAACTCTCCATGACCGAGGCCACCCAGTCTTTATGGCCTTCGGCCTTCCAGCCCTCGGTCATGAAGGCAGCGACTGCACCGGCGGCGGCCTCTGCTTTTGCGGCCTCGGCGTCTTCAAGGGCCTTCTTTGCAGCCTCGGCAGCCGCCTTCTCCACCTCCACCCTTTCCTTGGCCGCCTTTTCTGCTTCCGCCCTCGCCTGCTGGAGGTCCCTCTCCAGCTGAGCCATCTGCCTCACGGCCTCGACATTATCATGAACAAGCTTCTTGAGGGACTTCTCCTGTTGCGCCTTCTGGAGGCGCCACTCGTCGAACCTCCTGGCGTGTTCGCCGAGGGCTATGCAGACCTGTTTAAACAAATAACAAAGTAAGAGGTTAAAACTATGATCACACAACAGATAAAGTCATAGGCCACTATGCAAAGGAAAAAGAAAGAAGAAGAAAGGAAGGAGAAGAACTTACGGTAAGGGAGGACCGGAGAATTTTGGACTCGAGGGCTTCATCGTCCAGCTTCCCGAGGGCCCGCCTATCAAGAGCGGGCGTAGCCCCGCCCAAAAATTCTCGGGGGTCTACTGTGCCATGCGTTATAGCTGCCCCTTCGGCAGGGAGAACTGTATGTCCTCCCGAGGCAAGCTTGCCTCACCACCTTTACCCGAGGGCGGGCAAGGAGCAGTTGGAGCACTAGGCTCGGAGGCGGAATGCTCGTCCACCACCACCACCAGGGGAGCCTTCTTCCCGGCGTCCCCCTTCTTCTGCTTCTTCCCCTCGGGGATTGGGGCCTTGCAGGCGGCCTTCCGCTTTGCGGCCTCCCCCGAGGGCTCGCCGCCCTTCTTCAGCTCCCCGACGGGCTTCTGCTTGACGGGCTCCTTCTGGCCCGGGGCCTTCACCTTCTGCTTTTTGAGGTTGGCGAAGGCATTGAGGTCCATGTTGATACCTGAAAAAAATGATAAACGGTTAAAGCCAAAGGAGAAAAGATACAACAAGAATCATATCTACACCAAAATATGCATAAGTCTAAAAGACCGAATGCTCTCAGCCACTACCTCCGGAGGCTCTCTCGAATGCCGGGAACTTTTCATCTGATTCCCCCAGGAAGCGATACCGCCTGAACCCGAGGGTGTAGAGGTCCTCCTCTTGGGTGCACTCCTTGATGGTTATATTTTTGTCTCGGCCCTCCGGGATCTTGGCCAGGATCCTGCCGTCTTTCTCGAGGGCGGCGCTCCTCCTCTTCTCATGCCTCCTAAACCGGTCACGCAATTCCCTCGGGAAGGGGCTCTCGGTCATCTTCACATAGCACCACCGGTCTTTCCACCCTTTGTTCGAGGAGGGCGCCTCAGTAAAAAGCTTGAACAGGGCCACGTGCTGCAAGTTTGCGAAGCCATCGGCATTCACATCCCCCCCCCCCGGCACAGGTTGAAGCTCTGGAAGAAGAGATCCAGGCTAGGTGTTACCCCCCAGGACTTGCAGAGCTGGAGGAACCCCGTGATGTAGGAATGGCTGTTCGGGGTCAGCTGGCAGGGGACCAAACCCACAAACCGGAGGTACTCCCGGAGGAAGGGGTGTAGGGGGAACCGGAGCCCCATGGACACGGAAAGAATGTGCACCGCAATGCAGCCCTCGGGAGCCCAGGAGAGGACGTCATCGGGACCCGGTGTCACCACGATGGCCGAGGGGCCCACGTGTAGTTGAGTGACGTAAATATCCGCCGCATTAGCTTTCGACCTTATCTCTAAGGCGGCGGTATTCAAGTATGAATACCCCTCGGGCATATCGAGGGGCTTCCCTTGGTCTGCAACGCTGCCCTTCTTCTTGGGAACGGCGACCTTGGCCTTCTTTTTTCCGGGGGCCACCCGGATGGGAACCGCATTCAGCGGCCGAGAGGTGCTGGCCTCGCCAGTGCCCCGAGGGGGGAGAACAGCAACAGTGACCCTCGCGCCCTCTTTCTGCGCCTCTTCTTCAGCTGCTTGCCAGGCAAGGGCTAGCTCTTCATCTTCACACTCTTGCTCGAAGCCCTCGGCTTCCGCCTCAGCGGCGAGGGCTCTCTGCAGCTCCATGGCGACAACAACGTCTTGTCCCATTGAGGGCTGTTCGCTTGAGGACTCCACGTCCGAGATAACTTCATCCTCCATTGAGGGCGCCCCCGAGATGTCCTGGGAATCACTTTGGGACGACATCTATGCACTAGTTCGAGGGCTCGGAAACACTAGAGTTTTCTAAAAGTGCTATCTCCTACCCTAAAGACGCAGGGCACAGCTAACTAGAAGGAAAAGAGCAATGGGGAATTGATCTTGAGAGCTGAGGATTCAATTGAAGGCAGGTTTCTCTCTCTACAAAATTTTTGCCAGAGCTTCGCTACACTGAAATCGCACAACGGAGAATGACCCTGGGCTTGGGGTATTTATAGGCGCTGGGATCCGGGCTTGGGCCTGGAAACCGGGCCTCCGGTTGGACTGCCATCATTACAGACCGCGGTTTCGCCCAATCGGTGACGCCCGCCCACGGACAGCCAACGAGCACGCACCACGTGGCAACCCCCCCAACGGCTATATCATGACGTTACATATTCCAACGGCTATATTTCCAACGGCTATATTCTGGGAGCCCCAGGGTTTTTTACTTCACTCCACTTCATCAAGGAAAGCCTCCGGGTACACTTACCCAAAGACGCTCCCGGGTTGTGCCCCACACAGTACATAACAGACGCCTTCAGGATCACTCCTTCAGAAGCCCAAGGCTTCATATCAGGCCACCCCTCGGGGATCCCCCCTCAGCACTGTGAGGGCCGGGTAGCCCCCGGGGAGTATGCCTCATTGACGGATAGCCTACGACACACAGGTAATGGGAGCCCTCGGATATCCTCATCACCAACTAATCAACAAACAGGGGACACCCCGGTAACACTTCAACTACTACCATCATTCATTACGCCCTCGATCCCTAGATTGAGGGACCCCCTTTCGGCACCTCCCAGGACATCAACAACAAGCCTCCGGCTAATCAACACATGAGCCCTCAGAACAAGGAGAGCCTTCGGCATCTGCATTATTCTCCATTTCGAACCAAGGTTTCACATTTTCGATTCATCGTTGGGGGAATTCGGTGCACTCTTTTTCCCTCATTAGAATTTTTTCCCACAAGGTTTTTCCTAATGAGGTTTTTAACGAGGCATCCCCCCAAAATGAAACGAAAAGCGTCAGCCTTCGGCCCAAAACAGCAACGCAACTACTCTACTCCTCTTCGCCACTTTGCAAGTGCCTCAGGACTGGAGGACCCCCTCGGGAAAAATCACAAAAATCACAAACATGACCCCTCAAGTCCCGACATGTGGGTAACTGAGGGACTGCCCTCGGCAGAATAAACAAACAGCAAACTACCCACAACTCTACAAACTACAAACGGAACAACGGCAGAGGACAAACACAATTACTCCTTTTCCCTCAAGTACCTTTCGGCAAAAGGAGTGAGGGACTCGTGATGGAGTATATGGCCCGGGAACCCCCGGCCCACAGACTCCTACTACTCCAATAAAGGCCCAACAGGCCCAGAAGGCCCAACATGCCCAAATCACGGCGCCCAGAGTACCAAGCAGCCCTCAATGCGCACCAGGGGTGCCTTCGGCCCCCTGGCCGAAGGCTCTAACTCTCACAGGAGGGCCAACACAGCAAAACAAAGTTACTGGGAAAACGGCGAAAATCAGTAGCCCTCGGCACCTGGAGCCCTCGGCACCCAGGGGGTCCCCGGTACTCAGAGCCCTCGGTTAGTCCTCTACAGCCGAGGACACCTTTCCCGACATGATATCCGCGCCACATGCGTACAGATCACCGTACCCTGTACAACGTCCCATCCAACAGCCGCATTAAATGCAGCCACATGCGGCTGCCAGCGCCAACCAGTTGAGGTGGCCTCTCGGCCAATGGACGCTTGACACGTGTCCCTGTCCGGCATTTGTTGCTACTATAAATAGCACCTCATTTTCCCATTTGTAACCAAGGTATAATATGTTGAATACTTTCTAATATACTTTCTCTCTCTATACTTACTTGCTCTGATTTCTCTCTTGTTATTCCTCGTAGTAACCACTCAGATAAGCTACCCCCGGGTACACTATCCATCATTTTCATTTGGCAAAGTCTACCGGGACGGAGGTAGTACTTTATTTCCTTATCTATCATATCACCATTTACTTTTTGAGGACCGGACTTATCACTTTTTACCTTTAAGAAGTACAGTACTATAATTGTAAAACAATCATTTTATCGTTTATATTTAAAATTTTACATCAAACTCACATGTATCTTACATTAACGGGTTTAATATGATAATATTAATTTAATATTAATGTCATAATGATAATAAATTTCAAATATGAAAGTAATTGATCGCTAGTTAAAGAATAAAGCTATATTAATCTTTTTTTAAATCTAAAATTTTTGTACTCAGAGGTTCTCATTTATTCTTTATAACTTACGGAGTAATAGATTAAACAAATTTCACTTGTAGGCGACCACTAAAAAATAGATTCCGACGATACTGAACATTTTTTTAACTAACATTTTTCATTCTTTATAAATTAAAGAATGCACTCATTATTTATTTTTCTAATAAAAAATGAAACCACCGTCCGCCGCTGCCTAGCAAAAGAGGTTTTGTCCGGTCATCGACATTTGGGGTGGTTCCGGTGGAATTTTTTGATGAAATTTTTTGAACATCTTGTTCATCGAGTCTAGTTTACTCATACCAAAGTTCAGCTAAAAATTCAACCGGAAAGGTATTCAAATGAATTCTTGAAAATAAATGCGCAGTTCGAATCGACAAAAGTAAAGCAACAGTTTGGGAGTTGCCCGCTACGACCCGGTGAAGAAGATGAAGGTATTTGCTGAAAGCCTGAAGCCGACGGGCTGCTGAAGAAGATAGGGCTGAACACAAGAGGTTCAATTCAATCAAACTCTAAGATTTTATTGGCTTGGGGTGCTAGATTTTTGTGTGCAAAGAATATGTATCATTTAAATTAAAATTGACCCAACCGAATTTCCAATCACCTCTGGTTTTTTTTTGGGAGGAAACGTGTTTCCAGTTTACCTGAAATTACAAATGGCAGTATGGCCAGTACGTTTCAGTTTGTAAAGACTCCTTTTTTTGCTTTAATTGATCATGTGTCCTACGCTGGTTGTCATTACTACTGTAAAGACATTGAGCAGTGAGGCGAGAACCCATTGATTTCCGATGGACAAAACTCTGCTGGTATGCTGCGGGTGCATCAATACCTGACCCGACCCAAATTTAATTTGGTGTTTTGGGCGGGAAAACTGCCTCAAAATCCACATATATAGATAGATTTATTGCATTTTTCATATTAAGGTTCACATTTTTATTTCTCCCTCAGTCCCAAATTGTAAAATACATTTACTATTTGTCAACATAAATCACTCTTAATCTTTTACTTTATATATCAAAAGTTTATGAAATTTGAATTATTTTTTGCAGGTTTTGTAGCGATTTTTATGTAGTTTCTGGATATGTAAATTTTAATTATATTAAAAAATATACCTGATGGAGTATATGGCCCAGGGACCCCCGACCACATACTTCCTCTACTACAATCAAGCCCAACAGGCCCAAACGGGCCA